TGAGGGAAGCGAGAGAGCAACACAATTTACGTGTTAGAGAAGCTATTTCAACTTCAAATACTAAAAAGTTGTGGGATGTTGTGAGAGGAATGATAAATTTAAATTCAAATAAGAAAGAAATACAGGTTTTAAATGAATTTGAAAAAGCAAATGAATTTAATAACTTTTATAATCGTTTTGAACTGACTGGTAGTGGTAGTATTGATAAATGTAGAGATTTGCTGAGTTCTGTAACATGTGATTTCACAAAGGATAGAATTCTGGTGGACCCAAGTGCTGTTGCGAAAATTTTTAAAAGGCTGCATACCAAAAAGTCCAGTGGGCCGGATGGTATTTCAGCTCTTTTACTTAAAACATTTGCTGATGAATTAACTCCAGCCTGGAGTCCATTATTTCAATTATCACTCGACACTGGATTTATTCCTACAATATGGAAAAAAGCAGTCGTTATCCCTGTTCCAAAAAAACATCCAGCAGAGGAAAATAATGACTTTAGACCAGTGGCGTTAACGTCCACAGTGATGAAATCACTTGAACGTATTGTGACAGAGAAATTGAGAGAGGATGTAGTGTATAAATTAGATCCTTATCAATTTGCGTATAAAGAAAATAGGAGTACAGAAGATGCTTTGAATACTATGACACACTTTATTTTAAAACACCTTGAAAATCCTGCAGCTTATGTTAGAGTGATGTTTATGGATCTGAGTTCAGCGTTTAATACTTTACTTCCAGATATTGTGTTATTTAAGTTAAAACAGATGGAAGTGAACCCTTATATAATTAAATGGTATTATGCATTTCTAACGGGACGACAACAGCAAGTGAAAATTAATTCAACTTTCTCTGATATATTGGTCACAAATGTTGGAGCTCCTCAAGGCTGCGTAAGTTCCCCCCTTCTTTTTACACTATATACGAATGATTGCAGGAATCGGTACATAAACAATTACATTATTAAATTTTCAGATGATACAGTTATACTTAGTTTGCTGACAAATAATTCAGATGTCGGCATGTATAAATCAGAGATAGAAGGGGTTGTGCAGTGGTGTGAGGAACACAACTTGATGTTGAATGTCAAAAAAACTAAAGAAATGATCTTTGACCCGAGGTTGGTGGGTGATCATAGTCCAATTTTAGTTAATGAGGAGGAAGTTGAGCAGGTAACCTGAAAAGATACAAATTTTCTCTAATTCCATTATCTGTCAAATTATTGAATAAGTGATTGAAATTGTTGTGTGGGTGAGGGTAATGTGATGGGTAACATGTAATGTTGGTGTATTACTAGGATTGTATAGGAATTATATATGTTTTGGAATGGTGTAATTATTATTTTTTTTTTTTGTATGTTTGATCTGCTCTCCCGGTTGCCTAAGACAAATTTCTCCTAAGGGAGACAATAAAAGAGAAACTTAACTTAATTACATGTGTTTGAAAAAATACCCTCACTGATCTTGTATGTCCCTCAGCAAATGTGTGGTTGCGCCCCTGCTTCAAGCACTAACTAATAGTCTAGGCAGTGGACAGTATTTTGAACAGAGCAGATTGCTAAGATGTCTGTGTTTACAGACTGACCCTTCGGCACGCAGCTGCTGTTGTCTGTGTGTAGTGTGTATCCAGGTGCACAATCACAGCGATGGGTTGAATCACTGATTTCTACACAGAAGTGCTCGCAGCCACCGTTCCTGTACAAACATCCATAGGAAGTGGGTGGCAATATTTCTGTGGGACGTACAACAGGATTTAAACATGAGTAGATGTTCATTATGTAGATCGTTGTGTTGTGATGTGATGTTTGTGTGTTATCTTTGTCACAGTGTCACCCTCATAGTTGACTGGACAGATACAGATGTAAGTGTTTATCTGATTGACACACGTGGCTCCGTTCTGACACGGTCCGACTGACAGTAATCCACCTCTGAAGAGGCAAACACACATTTACAGGACCTGAAGGCACTGTGAGTAGAGTTTGTGCAAAGCTCACTGTTGGTGGCTGCCAGGGCATTTCTATGCAGTCTAAGGGCCCTTTCACACTAGCACGTCTGGTACACACATGGGTTCGATTGACGTCAGTGTTCTGTACGTCTGGCTAGTGTGAAAGCTGTCATGCGCACGCGGGTGCGCACTGGGGTACCGAACCCGAGACTACCTGAAGGAGGTGGTCTGAGTTCGATTGCACTCGAACTGTGGTGCGGTTCGCGTGAATATAAAAGCAACACGGACTCAGGTGCACACTTGTTCAGGAAGTAAATTAACCTGCGCATGCATTTTAGCCGATTACAATGTAGTTTCTTCAATATAAGTGATGATAGTGTTGCTGATTTACCTTGGATTCAAGCGAGAGTGAGCCTGCAGTGTATTCGCGTGTAGCAACTGCAATCAGAGCGGCCGGCAAACGAATGGTAATCCGCTATCTCCCATAAATAGCCATCTACATGCGACACATATACAATAAACCCATTTGTCGTTTACTCTGCTGCGCATAATAGCACCAAATTAATTAAAAACACAATATATTGACCCATGTTCTGTTTTCTATCATACGTTGTGCACGTTTGTGATGACGTAGGATAAACGCAAACGCACCAGGTTTCGGTAGAATCAAGAGTGTGAAACCAGACCAATGCTGCGGGGGGTGCCGGGAACAATTGCACTCGGGTTCGAACCATAGCAAACGAGCCCAGTGTGAAAGTCACCTAAGGAGTGGTTGTCAGGTCGTTGCTAAGGAGTTCTGAGTGGTTCTCAGGGCATTGCTGTGGAGTTCTGAGTGGTTGTCAGGTCGTTGCTAAGGAGTTCTGAGTGGTCATCAGATCAGTACTAAGAAGTTCTGAGTGACATTGCTGAGGAGTTCTGAGTGGTTGTCAGGGCATTGCTAAGGAGCTCTGAGTAGCTGTCAGGTCATTACTAAGGAGTTCTGAGTGATTGTCAGGTAATTGCTAAGGGGTTTTGAGTGGTTGTCATGGCATTGCTGAGGAGTTCCGAATAGCTGTCAGGACATTGCTAAGGAGTTCTGAGTGGTTGTCAGGTCATTGCTAAGGGGTTCTGAGTGGTTTTCAGGGCACAGCTGTGGAGTTCTGAGTGATTGTTAGGACATTGCTGAAGAGTTCTGAGTGGTTGTCAGGTCATAGCTGTGAAGTTCTGAGTGGTTGTCAAGTCATTGCTGAGGAGTTCTGAGTGGTTGTCAGGGCATTGCTAAGGAGCTCTGAGTAGCTGTCAGGTCATTACTAAGGAGTTCTGAGTGATTGTCAGGTAATTGCTAAGGGGTTTTGAGTGGTTGTCATGGCATTGCTGAGGAGTTCCGAGTAGCTGTCAGGACATTGCTAAGGAGTTCTGAGTGGTTATTAGGGTGTTGCTAAGAAGTTCTGAATGGTTATTAGGACATTGCTAAGGAGTTCTGAATGGTTGTTAGGGCATTGTTAAGGAGTTATGAGTGGTTGTCAGGGCATTGCTAAGGAGTTCTGAGTGGCTGATAGGTCATTACTAAGGAGTTATGAGTGTTTGTCAGGTCATTGCTAAGGGGTTCTGAGTGGGCATAGCTCAGGTTGTTGCTAAGGGGTTCTGAGTAGTTGTCAAGGCATAGTTGTGGAGTTATGAGTGATTGTCAAGTCATTGCTAAGGACCTCTGAGTGGTTGTTAGGGTGTTGCTAAGGATTTCTGAGTGGCTCTCAGGGTGTAGCTGTAGAGTTCTGGGTGATTGTCAGGGCCTTGCTAAGGAGTTCAGAGTACTTGTCAGGTTGTTACTAAGGAGTTCTGAGTGGTTGTCAGATTGTTACTAAGGAGTTCTGAGTGGTTGTCAGGTCATTGCTGAGGAGTACCGAGTGATTGTTAGGACATTGCTGAGGAGTTCTGAGTGGTTGTCAGGTCGTTACTTAGGAATTCTGAGTGGTTGTTAAGGTGTAGCTGTGGAGTTCTGAGTGGTTGTTAAGGTGTAGCTGTGGAGTTCTGAGTGGTTGTTAGGGCGTAGCTGTGGAGATCTGAGTGGTTGTCAAGTCATTGCTGAGGAGTTCTGAGTGGTTGTCAGGGCATTGCTGAGGAGTTGTGAGTGGTTGTCAGGGCATTGCAAAGGAGCTGTCAGGTAATTGCTAAAGAGTTCTGAGTGATTGTCAGGTCATTGCTAAGGAGTTCTGAGTGGTTGTCAGGGCGTAGCTAAGGGATTTTGAGTGGTTGTCATGGCATTGCTGAGGAGTTCTGAGTGGTTGTCATGGCATTGCTAAGGAGCTCTGAGCGGTTATTAGGGTGTTGCTAAGAAGTTCTGAGTCATTGTCTGGTCATTGCTAAGGAGTTCTGAATGGTTGTTAGGGCATTGTTAAGGAGTTATGAGTGGTTGTCAAGGCATTGCTAAGGAGTTCTGAGTGGCTGTTAGGTCATTACTAAGGAGTTCTGAGTGATTGTCAAGTCATTGCTAAGGGGCTCTGAGTGGGTGTTGCTCAGGTTTGCTCAGGTTGTTGTTAAGGGGTTCTGAGTGGTTGTCATTGCATTGCTAAGGAAGTTCTGAGTGGTTGTCAGATCGTTGCTAAGAGGTTCTGAGTAGTTGTCAAGGCATAGTTGTGGAGTTCTGAGTGGTTGTCAAGTCATTGCTGAGGAGTTCTGAGTGGTTGTCAGGGCATTGCTAAGGAGCTCTGAGTGGTTGTTAGGGTGTTGCTAAGGATTTCTGAGTGGTTGTCAGGTCATTGCTGAGGAGTTCTGAGTGGTTGTCAGGGTGTAGCTGTAGAGTTCTGAGTGATTGTCAGGGCTTTACTAAGGAGTTCAGAGTAATCGTCAGGTTGTTACTAAGGATTTCTGAGTGGTTGTCAGGTTGTTACTAAGGAGTTCAGAGTGGTTGCGAGGTCATTGCTATAGAGTTGCTATGGAGTTCTTTTCTAACTTTTAAATTTTCTGTGCAACATTTGAAAATCTTTTCAAGAGTTTTGAAGTAATTTAGAGTCCAACTACTCATGAATCTGTTTTTATCAGATGTGTGTAAGCTGCATTGTAAGCACTTGAAGTCACTAGTTTACCTGTGTATCTTTTCCAGAAATCCTCCTGAAACACAACAGGAGAATTCTGTTAGATTTCCTTCAGCTCTTCTGCTGTTTCTGTGCTGTTGTTGGTTGTTTTGTCTTTTTTAAAACACAAGGTTTCATTACTGTCGGGAGCGACACATTGTGAAACTGACTGAAATTGATACTGACTCTGAATTAAGCACTAACTCTGAGCAGATCTTTCTGAATGTCCTGTTTTCCTTACCAGTTGTTCTGGGACGGTGAAGATCTCTCTGGCCTCCTCATACGAGCAGATCTCCTCAAGACACTCTCTCTCCAGATCTCCCAGCTTCAGCTCCTCCAGTTAGGAGTTAGCCTGTCGGACACGATGCATTAATGCCCAGTTTGCCTTAGACTTACCGAGGAAGACTGCAGGTGTTGAAGGGACAGAGAGTTACCGTCCAGCAGACACTGAGTAAGTCTGAATATTTTTATATTCTCTGGTTTAACATGTAAACATTGATGAGAAACACACAAACACAATGACACACTGCTGATCTCACAAATACAGATCCAGACAGACTGATTGTCTGTTTTTAATATCTGAATGCTCACCTGATGAAAGCCCAAAGCACACTGGGACAGCGAGCAACGTCAGGATCATATGGCAGAGCTTCATTCTGTTCAGGTTGAACTCCATGATGTTTTACCTTCAAGATCAAAGTCCGTAACTCATCTGCTGTGGTCTGGACACACGGTGGACGTACAGACAGCAGATTACACAATACTGTGTAACTGAAGCTGCTCTTTAAATCACCAGCAGATGGAGCCACTGATACAGTCACACACTTCATTTATGCCATGGGTGATATTTCACTCAAGGCAAGGGCTGACACTATATTAACAAATTAAATAATATGATGTTAGATCAAACTAGACACAAATGTTCAAATGTTACTTGTAAGTTGATGCTTAAAATAAACCAAAACACCTGTTAGTATTTTAATGTATTATTTTTCTTGACATTGTTCTTCCGTTAATTCAGCACAGACTGCTTTAACATTCAGACTCTAGTTTGTACAATAGATGACAATTTCAGTTCAATTCGGTTATCTCCGTTTCTCATTTGCACTTTATTTTGGGTTATTAGAAACGTTATACCTTTTAAAGGGGACATCAGATGCAAAATTCACTTTTACATGGTATTTGCATGTAAATGTGTCTTAGCAGTGTGTGGACACAACCACCCTACAATGATAAAAATCCATTCAAAACTCCTTTTTTTTTTAATTTCCAAAAAACCTAAACAGTCTCAATGGACTCTATGCATGGCACGTAGCCTACGTATTTCCGGTGAAATCTCAGGGCGCTTAAAGGGATAGTTCACCCAAAAATGAAAATTCTGTCATTAATTACTCACCCTCATGTCGTTCCAAATCCGTAAGACCTTCGTTCATCTTTGGAACACAAATTAAGATATTTTTTGATGAGATCTGAGAGCTTTCTGACCCTCCATAGACAGCAAGGTAACTACCACAGTCAAGGCCCAGAAAGGTAGTAAGGTCATCATTAAAATAGTCCATGTGACATCAGTAATATTATGAAGTTATGATAATACTTTTTGTGCGCAAATAAAAAAACTAAAATAACGACTTTATTCAACAATTCTTCTCCCCCGAGTTACCATCTACCGCCATTATGGAGAGTAGCACGACGCATGCGAGTGCTTTCCTCTGCTCGTAAACAAGGCGCAACGCATGCGTGTTCTACGTCAGCAGCATCACACAACAGCAACAACATTTATTTATAAAGCACATTTAAACACAATGTAAATTGATCCAAAGCGCTGTACAGTGATCAAACAAATCTACTAATAAAAACAACAACTACACGCATACAAAGGCTAAAGAGTAAAAATAAGATTTAAGTCTAGACTTAAAAATGTCCAAAGAAGGAGCAGATCTCACATGATAGGGGAGACCATTCCAAAGCTTGGGGCCAACCACAGAAAAAGCCCGATCACCCTTTGATTTGTACCGACACCGTGGTACAGTTAGAAGCAAGTGACTCGAAGATCTAAGTGCCCTAGCAGGACAATATGGCACAAGAAGTTCAGTGATATAACTTGGTGCACAACCAGACAATGCCTTAAAAACAAACAGAAGAATTTTAAAATCAACCCTAAATTTAACGGGAAGCCAATGAAGGGATAAAACAGGAGAAATGTGATCCCTCTTTTTTGACCCAGTCAAAAGTCTTGCCGCAGCATTTTGAACAGCTTGCAATCGTGACACTGAAGATTGAGGAAGACCAGAATAAAGAGAGTTACAATAATCCAATCGAGATGTAACAAGTGCATGAATCACAACTTCCATATCCTTCCTTGAAAGAAAATGCTTCAACTTTGCAAGATCTCAAATGGAAGAAAAACTTGCTCTAATAACAGCACTAATTTGTTTATCAAAAAATAGAGAGGAGTCAAAAATCACTCCAAGGTTTTTGATTTGTTTGCGTACATTAGTTGAAAGTGGACCTAACTGAGTTTCCAAAGCAGGAGACGAGTGTGCAGGACAACTTAATATTAAAACCTCAGTTTTATCCTCATTTAACTGCAGGAAATTATTAGACATCCATGTCTTAATATCATGTACACATTCAATAATACATCAAATGAAACAGCAGAATCAAGCCTTACTGGTAGATAAAACTGAGAATCATCCGCATAACAATGATATGAAATACTGTATTTTTTAAAAATGTCGGCCAAGGGAAGCATATAAAGGTAAAAAAAAGTAAAGGTCCCAAAATGGATCCCTGGGGCACTCCACATAAGACAGGTGCAGCGGATGAGAAAAAAATTCCTAAATTTACAGAAAAAGTCCTGTTCTCGAGATACGAGGCAAACCACTTTAATGCAGTGCCTCGAATACCTACCACACATTCAAGTCGATCAAGAAGAATGCTATGGTCAATGGTGTCAAATGCCGCGCTCAAGTCCAACAATACCAACACAACACAAGCACCTGAATCCAGAGAAAGCAGCATGTCATTTGTAACTCTCAATAGAGCTGACTCAGTACTGTGTAATGATCTAAAACCAGATTGAAACTTATCTAAAACACGAATAGAATCCAAAAAAAGACTGAAGTTGTAAAAACACTACTTTCTCCAAAAGCTTGCTGATAAAAAGGCTACTTAGAAATTGCCCGATAGTTACAGCACATTGCTGGGTCAAGCTGAGGTTTTTCCAGCAGAGGTTGCACCACTGCATGTTTAAAACTAGCTGGACCAACACCTTTGGCTAAAGAGCTGTTCACTATAGCTGTTACAATAGGACTAATAGTCGGGAAAAAATCCTTTAAAAGACGTGCAGGAATAATATCTAACTTAGAACCAGAACACTTCATAGTAGAGACAATATCATCTAGCTGATGTGATAAAACAGGTTGAAAGGAAGACAAACAACTTGTGGTACAAGGCAACTGCAAATGAAGTGATTCAGAAGGAGCAATGGAGGATCTGATAGCATCAATTTTTTGAGTAAAATAGTTTTAAAAATCCTCACAAAGCTCAGAGACAATAGGACTAATAGTCGGAAAAACATCCTTAAAAAGACGTGCAGGAATAATATCTAACTTAGAACCAGAACACTTCATAGTAGAGACAATATCATCTAGCTGATGTGATAAAACAGGCTGAAAGGATGACAAACAACTTGTGGTACAAGGCAATCGCAAATTAAGTGATTCAGAAGGAACAATGGAGGAATTGATAGCATACATTTTTTGAGTAAAATAGTTTTAAAAATCCTCACAAAGTTCAGAGGAGGCCTCAGATAATAAATTCATAGTTGGGTTTAAAAGAGAATCAATCATATTAAACAAAGCTTTTGGTCTATTCATATTATCAGCAATTAACTGAGATAAATAACTAGATTTTGCATGTTTTACTGCTATTTGATAATTAGAGAGACTTAACTTAAGATATCAAAGGAAACATGCAGCTTATCTTTTTTCCACTTTCGCTCTGCTTTCCGACACTCTTGTCTAAGAGTGCGGGTGGTTTCATTTAACCATGGCTGGCCAACACCCTTTACCCTTTTATGCTTAAGCGGAGCAACAGTGTCCAAAGATGTAGAACAAGCTTTATAAAATCCTTCAATCAAACTTTCAGTATCAGTTTCGTTAAGGATATCATTGGTAACATGTAAAGAATAATGTTCAGAAAACAAATTTGCAGTGTTAGAATTAAGTGTTAGAATACAGTGTTAGAATTAATAACTCTAGACCAATGTGAACGCTGAGCGAAAGTAGGTGATGGAGAAAAGCATTCAGATTCAAACAAAACTGGATAATGATCAGACACACATGCCTCAATAACCTCCATGTTTGAGATCAAAAGGCCACAGGACAACACCAAGTCAAGTGTATGACCCACATTATGAGTTGGGCCACATACATATTGTTAAATATTCAGTGACTCTAAAAGAGTTACAAATTCATTGACCAATGGTTTCGAAGGACAAGAAAAATGAATATTAAAATCCCCAATGATTAGTAATCTATCAGCCCAAGTCACTAGATCAGACAGAAAATCAGAAAATTGACAGATAAAATCCTTATTCCATTTAGGGGGTCTGTAAACCAAAGCACATAGTACAGGCCCCTTTACATCAACCTTCAATAGCTGGACTTCAAAACTGGAGAAAGTATCAGTGGGCACAGTCTTACATTTAAAACAGCTTCTAAAAATTGTTGCAACTCCACCACCATGTCCAGAGGCCCGTGGAGAACTAAAAAATGCACAGTCTGGAGGAGCAATCTCAATAAGAGGCATCAAGTCACCATGTTTTAACCAAGTCTCAGTAATAAATAAGAAGTCTAATGAATGCGATGTAAATAAGTCATTTAGAATCCGGTTACTATGGTAACCTCGGTTCCCTGAGAGCGGGAACGAGACATCACGGAGACACGGAGGCGCTTAGCTGGTCGAGCAGCGAACACGGCGACCTCCGTGATGTCTCGTTCCCGCTCTCAGGGAACCGAGATTACCATAGTAACCGGAGACGTTCCCTCTCGAACTTTCACGAGACATCACGGAGACATTTCTCCGTTATGGGAACGATATTCAATCCCGTCGTGAGAGAGGC